AGGAGCGCTGTCACTTAGAGTATGGCTGTTCCTCCAAATGACCTCAAAGGGATCTCCAGAGGCTGCTGTGATTTTTCAGAGGCTGCAGGACTCCACTCACACCTTCCCAAGGCCTTGGGGGTGGCAGTTTAGAGCAGCCCCACACTCTACATGCTGCAGGAGCTAAATATTCAACACTGAACAGGCAGGCAAAACCAACCCAGTCAGAAGAAGTAGAAATTTCAGCCCAAGGACTGTTAAACCTTTCTAATTCACCAGCAAAACATGTGGAACCACACCAGGCAAAGCAAATACCACTGCTGGTTTCAGCCCTTGGGTGGATTTGGGATGGAAACCTGAGGATTATAATTATTTCCTAAACTTCCCACAGTGGCAGTTCTCTCTGCTGCTCCTCTTTCCCCTCTCAATGAGAAGCTGCAGCCTGTCCAGCACCTCTGCCTAGCGTGTTCCTTGGCATGCTTCCACATGTTTTCCATGAATGAGCAGAAGGTAAAGGGGTCAGTGTTTACCTGTCCAGCCCCACTGGTGTCCCTGTGCACGTGCTTTGGAGTGCTTGCCACTGGCTCCAGTATAACACACCACAAACTCACAGCGTAAATTCCTAGGGGTTTACAACACCCACAGACATCCCTGTGGCTCCTGGGTTAGCAAGTGTTTATTTTTAGGAAGGATGTGGTAAAGCCTGCAGTTGTGGCCAGTTGTCTCTGTGTTGGGTATCCACCCCCATGCTGTGTAAGTCCACGAATGTCTGTGTCTCCCTCTGTCTCATCCTCTGGTTCCAGTTGCTGCCTGCTCTGGGATGTCCCACACAGACACACACATGTCATGCAGGAAATCCTGAGCACCCCAAAACCACACAACAATATCCCCCTTGTCAGTGCTTGCATGATTTGAGCCCCAGGAATGCTCCTGAGAGCTTTTTGGGACACCTTTTCTCCCCTCTCTGTCTCCCAGCACACACAGGTAGGCTGTGGTTAGTCCTGCAAACCCAACTCCTGAAATTCTTGCACAAAAACAAAATAAAGAATTTTAAAAAGCCCTCTTTTCCTTCCTGGCTCTCCTGTGGGCACTGCTGCAGCATCTCCACTATCAGCCCCAAACCCCTTGGGCATGGGGGGGAATGGTGGAGGGGCTCAGACAAAGCAGCTGAGATGCTGCTTAATGAGCAAGGGAAGTGAACATCCCTATTGGCTACGTTCAAGCTGGCAGGGGGAGCCTGGCCAGCAACAGCTCTGGGAAGCATTAACAAAGGGAGATTCAGGATTGGAGAAGATAAATAGAAGGGGGTGTGAAATGGCGCTCTGTATCTTCTTTACATGCTTTGCTCCTCCCTCTCCTGGGGTTGCTATGGGTATTCACACAGCTTCCCAACTCCTGGTGAGTGCCCTGCCACAGCCTCGGGGGTGTCTCCTGTGAGAGATCTCCTTCCAGCCTGTCCACCCAGCCCAGAATTGCCCTCACTCCTCCCCCAAGATGCCCAGGACATACCTGCATTCCCACCTCCCACGCCCACCTGTAAGCAACGCAGAGCCCTCCCCACTCCTCCAGGAAGTAAATCCTGACTTCAGCCAGGTGTTTTCCTGAACAAACCATCACACAGAGATCAAAACAAAGAGCAACTGGGGTCAGGCAAGTACCACGAACGTGCAAGGCACAGCAAAAAACCAAACCAAACCAAACCAACAAGATGGGTCTCTTGTACCAGTCTCTGTGTTCTCCCCCCATACAGGATCCCCCCTCCTCACAGGGAAACCCCACACTGATGATCCCACAGGGATATCCTGCCACGCTGCTGGACTGTACATTTACTCCTCATTGGACAATTCATTGCTGTAATCTCCACTTCAGCCACTGATCTGATTTGTCTGGGAGTGGCATCTGCTGCTCGGAATCAGTCTGGATTCATTTGCATTTGCCCAGCGACAGCGCGGGTGCTTTGTTTTCTTAGAAAACAAAACACAAACATCATTAAATTAATCTATCCTCCCGTTTTTCCCAAACAAGATTAATTCAGAACTGCTTTGCTCACATTTTCAGAGCAGACTGTCTGAGCTCCTCTATCCTGAGCATGTGCACCAGAGCTCCTCTCCTGTGTTTCAGAACAAAGAGCAGCTTCCCTTTGTTGCCCCGTAGCAACAACGTTTGAGATCAAGAGCCAGTCCCTGTCTTATTGAGCTTTCCCTGTTCTGCCTGGTTCCAGGTGCCCAGAGACACGTGGGATTTGTTTTGATGGGCAGGGATATGCTAAGACAGGATAGTTTCTTCTCCAGCTCCCATGGAGACAGCAAGGGAGAAATCACAACATGGGTTTAAGCTTGCTTTCTGGTTTAGAGTCAGTGCTGGACTCCCTCTGGGATCCATCCAAACCACTGGCCTGGGCTGCCCTGTTTGTATTGCTATTTAATTTGGGTCAAAGAGAGTTAAGAGCACATCCCACTTTTTGTCTTTTCAGCTGTGTTCCCCAAGCTCCAAGCAGAGCCCTGCAGTTCAGAGAGCTCACGGTGCTTCAGAGATTCACCTGTCAGCAGGAGAAGCAGTTGTACAGGATTGAACAGACAGAAACAGTGAGCCAGGCTCCGGCAGCTGCCCTTGCCCCCTCTTTAATACCTGTACTACCAACCAGAGCCTGGGGAATTCACACACCAGGCATCAAAACGCTGGGAAGAGCACAAGAAGAGCACAATGGGCTGCTTTCCAGGATTTGCCTGTTTGATCACTAGAGAGGTGTCAGGGCTGGGCATTGAACAGATGGGAGCACTTTCTATTTCCATTCTTTAGGACTGTCCCACAGGTTTAGAATAAAAACATCCCCTTGATTCAACTTATAATAGGAGGAAAGGAACCAGGAAAAAAAAAGCATCAGCAAGAGCTGTTTTACTGCAAATGTGGACACAGGCAAGTGGGAAAACCAGCAGAGATTCAAATCCACTGAGTTTTTTCAGTTATTTCAGCACCAGTCTGTGCCTGGGCAAAGTCTCTTCCCAAACCTGGGGGTCTAACCCGTGCTATGGGATGCCCTGCCACAACAGGCACTGACAGGGGGCTCTGAGCTCTAGGGGAATGTGTCCCTGCCCACGGCAGGGCAAAGAATGAGATGAGCTTTAAGGTCCCTTCCAACCCAAATAATTCAGTGATTCTATGAGCAGCTGTTTCAGGGACTATCATGGGCACCCAGAGGTAACATCATGGCTCATGCACCAGAACTAATACGTCATGATAGTGCAGCTCCCCACGAACAGTCTGAGGCTGCCTCTCCTCCTGTCTTCTCTATTCCCACTTAGGAGGGGGATGGAGCTTGTAAAGAGCTCCAGGCAGAGGCTGGAAGCTGGGGTGAGTGTCACTGTCCCATGACCTGAGAAAAGGCCCCTGTCACTGAGCTAAGGAAATCTGGACTGCATCAGCTCTGCCCCTTGAAGAGCCCCAGCATGATGCTGGAAGAGGGAGCAGTACAGCTTGCTCTGATGGGGCTCATTTACTGCCTTCTCATAACAAAACTATTACAGCAGCTGTGGTGCACTTCTGCATTAACAGGGCTTTGTTAATTGTCATCTGAACTGGAGCGGAAATTGTTAGAAAGATTTTCCTTGATTAAAATGTTGTCACTGATGGGGAATTCAACAGACCTCTGAGAAAACTCTTCCAGCCATAGCTTTGTTTTAAAGTCCGTGGCTGGTTTCTAGCATCTACACTTTATCTAATTACATCAAGCCCTCACTCCATTTTAGCTTTATCAGCTAGAAGAGCCTAACAGCAAAGTTTAATCACTTCAACAAGTTGGCTACAGCAATCTCTTAATTTTCTGATAAGCCACATTGTTGAGCCAGACCCAGGGAAAGACTCAGACAGAACCAGCTGCTGAAGATGTTTAACTTCAAGCTCTGACATCAAAATCCAGGACCCAGCAGTTCCATGACACCATTTCAACCTCCATGGGAGCTGCCCAAGTGGCCACCAGAAGTGACAAAGCACAGTCTCACCCAGTCAGACAAGGAAGCACATCATCCAAATTTACTCCCAATTGCTCCAAGGGTATAATCTTTGTCTATGCCCCAAAATATATAATCTTTTCACATATAAATTATCCTGGAGCCATCTCCTCATGCACAACCACCTCTGGCTGGGGTATTCATGGAGGAAGGTGAACTCTCAGTCCAAGTTCTTCCTTATCCTCATGGTACTGAAGGGAGTTCACCCTCTGAAGAGGAGCCCTGGCCCTTCTTATGAACCAGGAGGGAAGAGGGGAGAGGCAAAGAACAACATTTGGTGGCCAGTGGTCTCTCACTGTGGACCAAGACAAACAAACTTTGTTGGGCCAGAGGCAAGACAGGGATACTCACTTGGGAGGCAGGTCTCTGCTCTGCTGCTGGGGCTTCTCATCCTTTCTGACCTCACACACACCTCACAGAGAGGTGGTGGAGTCTCCCTCCTTGGAGATATTCCAGAACTGTCAGGACACAATCCTGTGCCATGTGTTCTAAGATGACCCTGCTTGAGCAGGGAGGCTGGGCCAGGTGACCCACTGTGGCCCCTTCCAACCTGACCCATTCTGTGATTCTGTGAATACACTTCAGCAGCACAGAGCTCAAGGCTCCAGGACTGCTAAGAGGAGTGATTTCCTGGCCTCTGTGCAAGGAGAGGAATTAAGAATTTGGACTCAGAATCTCGTTTACACGCTCAAAATCTGCTTTAGAGAAGAAGCCTTTCTCTGTGAAATGTATTTTCTAGTCCTTTAACCATCTCACAACTTCACCTGGAGTTTTCTCCTGTTCCTGACTGTCCTCCTCGAGGTGTAGACACCAAACCCAGACACACCATTGTCAACAACAACTGTCACACCCCCACACACACAGCTGACACAGGAGCAGCTCTGTTTCTGACTCTATCAATGACAGGGGACACCCATTCTCAGGACTGCCAGTCATGGACTTTCCAGCACTGAAAGTGGCACACAAAGGGAAGAAACCTTCACCCCAAACAAAAATGGAGCAAGAGGCACTTACCCACTTGTTCCAGGTCTCTGGGTCTGAGAGAAGCGCCAGTCTGTGTTGGGCTGAGCTTGCTGCAGAGAAAAAGAAGAGTTTTAATACCTTCATTCTTTCCTTTGAAAAATGAAAGCGAACTGATCCTGGATTATTTCAGTCTGGAATATCAGCATGTTCTTTCCAAGTGAAGCAAATCAATTAGAACAAAGAGAAAGCTCCCCCTCCCTCTTTTTTGAGTATTTCTGAACCAGCATGAATACTGAAAAGCATGACAAAAACTGTTCAGAGAATAATCTTCCAAAGCAGCTCAGGAAACCAGGCTGTGAAAGAAATGAAGCATGAAATAAACTGATAAGGGCATCAATTCAGCAGGAGCAGTGGTACCACAGTAATGAGCTTGGAGGAGGAAGGGTGTGTGTGGGGGTGGCAGAGTTAATTGATACTGAGAAAGACGCTTTTAACGCTCTAAGGTAAAATGGCAACAGACCTTCCTAATTTCTCCTCCTTCTGTCCTTAAAAAAGCCTGCCTGAGGTCTTATTTTTGTACATTGTATTTGAATGACTTTTCCTAGATGCTGTGGCTTTGGAGCACAACAATATTTTTTCTGTCCACAGAGAAAAGAATGAACTTCCGACAGCAAGAGGAAAAAGCATTATTTGTTTAGGACACACAATAACCTTCAGACACAACAGCACACTTTGTAACCTCATTAAGAAGCCCCCGTATCACTTTCTGCCTGTGTTATTTTACCACCAGACAATGAACATTTTGTAAATAAGGAAGTACATGGAGCAGGCTTGATTATTCCTGTTTGAATTACGCCTTTGTGGAACACACTAAATAGCAGAGCTGTTTTCTGTCTGGAAGACACACACTTCCGAAAATCATCATTAACTCTTATTTAAATAATTAAATAATAATAATTAACTCCAGAGTGATGACATACTACCTGGAAAGGACAACACTTCTCTCAGTTATTTTTGGAGTGAGCTGTTCATAGTCCACACAATGGAACACCAGTTTTATAGGATTATTCTGCTTGTACATGCAATTACTAAGGAAAGTGAAGACAGGGCAGAGCTGACCTAGATTTTTTATTTAGTAGATGTGCTTTTATTAATTTCTCTGCAGCTTTGATGATCCTCATGAAAGAAGATATTAGAATAAATTATTCCCCTGAAATAGATGCCCCAGTGGTCCCCAAGCTGCATGCAAATGAAGCTGTTTAAATACTTGCCCTCCAGATTTCAGATACGCATTTTTGAACACGCTGACACACAATCCTGCACTAAAGAAGCCCTTCCCAATCTATGTTTTGAGTTCCTGTTGAAATTACCATTTTCAAATTTAGGGCAGGCATTTATGACACAAAATTGCATTACTTTTTATATCCCGAAGTTATAAAAGCTACAGCTAAACACAGTCACCTACATCTATATTTAGACAGCTGAGTACAAGTAGCTCAAGTTTTCAAAGCCTGATGCTGCCTCAGTCTTTGCAAGCCCAAGGGCACATAAGGTTACCAGGATCTCTGTGAATAATGTCACTACTGACATTTCGGTAGTTCAGTGCTGAGTAGTGAATTCAGCCCCTTACTCAAAATGACCAACCTGAAAAATGATCCCTTGTCGGGGCACAGTCAGTAATTAATAACACTTGGAGGTTAAGAAATGAGAAATTTCTACAATGCACCTCTAAAACTGAGCGAAAGAAACACTGACAGACTCTTCTTCCAGATCACATCTCCCGTGTCATGGTTTGTATGCCATGCAGAACAAAGGGGGTTAAATGGAATCAAGAAGTTAATCCACCCCACAAAAACATATGTCCCTGACCATGCTAAGAATCACTTTAAAAAGAAATGAGTATGAATGGGGCCAAGACGAGACTCTTCACTGCCACAAACATGCTGTCTTTCATTCTATAGTGCTGCTCAGCCCCACCAAGCCCAGCCAAAACTTTCACCTGCCACCTCCCAGGAGGTGACAGTGACACACATTCCTCGAGGCCCCTGTCTCAGGAGGAAGGACAGGCAGAGAAGAGCCAGCTGGCCTGGATATTACGGACTGTTGCACTTAGCAGAGAGGACAGTAAGAAACACCCATCTCTTACCCCATCGCAGGGACTCGCTAAGGTGCTGGTCACCTGCTCATAGGCAGCCACGGTCTCCGCAGTGCTAGAATGGCTGACAGGCTTTACAAAGAGGAAATCGCTCTGGTCAGACATGGGCGAGAAACAAGAAGTGTAATTCTGTGCCTGGGAGGTCAAACCCACTCCTCCCACGTCCAGGTACTTGATGAAGCCATCTGGCTTCATCTGCCCTCGAAAATGGGAGGCGGGCTTGCGGCCAGTCCCCCGGCAGCAACCCGCCAAGGTCCAGCTGGCACTGCCAGCTTTGAGACACCGGGCAGCCGCGAGAGCAAACATCACACAGGACACAAGGGAGATGGACACCAAGGAGATGATGAGGTAAAGCGTTATGTTGGTATCCTTGGGGGAAGACTGCGGGACGTCCAAGGACTGGGAGAAGTCCTGCACGCTGTTTTCCTCTGGAGAAATGACTATTACCACGGAGGCCGAGAGGGACGGCGTGCCATTGTCCCTCACTTCGACCACCAGCCTGTGGGAATCTTCTGACTCCCTGAGAGCCTGTGCAAGCCTTATCTCTCCAGAGCGGCGTTCCACTTGGAAAGGCAAAGCCTCAGCCGACTCCTGCAGCTGGTAGGACAGCCAGGCATTATGGCCACTGTCAGCATCAACTGCTACAACTTTGGTGACCAGATAGCCAGGTTCTGCCAAGGCCGGGATGGCCTGGTGGAAGGCAGAGCCCTTGGGGACAGAGGGATAGACAATGTTGGGAGCATTGTCATTCTCATCCACGACGAACACGTGGACCACAGCAGTGCTACTCAGCGCAGGAGACCCAGCATCCTTCACCTCCACAGGCACCTGGAACACCTTGTCCTGCTCGTAATCCAGAGCTCGCACGGTGTAGATGGTGCCGTTGTCCTGGTCTATTCGGAAGTAGGTTGAGATGGGTACATCCTGTATCCCATTATCCAGGATGGAGTAAGACAGCTTGGCGTTGCTACCCTCATCAGGATCAGATGCTGACACTGAAAAGACAGAAGTTCCAGGAAGGGAGTTTTCCTGAACATGAGCTGTATCAAAAGGGCTGGAGAAATTTGGTGCGTTATCATTCACGTCAGCAATGCGGAGGTAAAAGGTTTTTTGTGTGGCCCTCTGGGGGGACCCAGAATCCACAGCCCTCACTGTGATGTTGTATCCATCGGCCTTCTCCCGATCAAGGGGACCACTAGTGACCAGTGAGAAATGCTCTTTAAAAGATGACACCAGTTTAAACGGGAGCTCTTTTGCTATCTGCAGGTGGACCTGCCCGTTGTCACCGGAATCACTGTCCTTCACACCAATGAGGGCAATCACAGTGCCTGGGGTTGCATCCTCCTGCACTGGGCTGGAGACAGAGGTCAGCACAATCTCTGGGCTGTTATCATTGATATCAATTAACTCCACTCGCAGGTGACAGTGGCCTTCCATAGCTGGAGATCCCTTGTCCCTGGCTCGAACTGCAATCTCATAAGCACTGGATTCCTCATAATCCAGTGGGGCTTTGGTTCTGATCTCCCCCGTCCGGGGATCTAAGGAGAACAGCTTGGTGAATTTACCAGGTGCATTATTGCTGGTTTTGAATGAATATTCCACATCCCCATTGGGACCTTCATCCAGGTCGGTGACATTCAACTTGGTGACCAGAGTACCCACTGGCACATTCTCCTCCAGATGTACCTTGGATATGGGTGGGTCACAGACAGGAGGGTTATCATTTGCATCCAGGATATGGATGGTAACCTTGGCAGTGCCAGATTTCACTGGATTGCCTCCATCCAGAGCTGTCAGTGTTAGATGATGAACAGGCACTTTCTCTCTATCCAGTGCTTTTTCAAGTACAATCTCGGGCATTTTAACACCATCTCCTCTCACATTGATGCTCAGGGCAAAATGCTTGCTGGGGCTGAGCTCATAGGTGGAGATGGAGTTGGAGCCCATATCCGGGTCTTCTGCTACCTCCAAGGGTAGCCGGGTCCCAGGGTTGGCTACCTCAGTGATCTCCAGCACCACCTCCGGCTTGGGGAACTGGGGCGCGTTGTCATTCACGTCGAGGACATCCACCTCAACACGGTGCAGCTGGAGGGGATTCTCCATGACGAGCTGGAGGTGCAGGGAACACGTGGGGCTCTGCCCACACAGTGCCTCCCGGTCCAGTCTGCTGTCGAGGAGCAGCACACCTGCCGCCAGGTCCACCTGGAAGTGCCGCTGCCCACCCTCGCTGACCAGGCGCAGGTTGCGGGCGGCCAGGCTCCGCACCTCCACCCCTAGGTCCTTGGCCAGGTCGCCCACAGAGAAGCCCGGCTCTCGATCCTCGGGCACGGAGTAGTGGAGCTGGGCGCAGCTGGGAGCCGCCAAGCAGGAGAGAGCTGCGAGCAGCAGCGGGAGCTGCCATGGCAAACTCCGTCCCGCGAGCATCCCGTGCCGGGTGTGCGAACGGAGCAGCGCGGAGCGGAGCGGCGGCGGCTCCGCGCAGCCTCCCCCGCCTCCCCGCCCTCGCTGCCGGCCCCAGCTGCCGGAACCCCAGCACCCCGGGGGCGTCCGAGCGGGCTGTGCAGGGAGGAAGCCGCCGCCGGAGCCGCCGGAGCCGGGCAGGGAAGGATGGAGGGGGCGGGGGGGGGGACGAGCGCAGCCTGGCCGGATGAACCGCTTCTCGGTACGCAAAGACACACAAAGTCGGCGAGAGGAGGGGATGGACCGAGTGACAGTTTTACGTCTCTCCACAGCCCCCTCCTCCTCCTCCTCCTCCTTTTCCTCTCCCTCCTCCTCCCCTCCTGCTTCTCACCGCCTTCCCCAAAATACGCACGGCGTAGCCCTCCCCTCTTCCCCCGCCGCCGCCACTCCGCCCCCGCAGCGCCGGGAGGGCGCCGGGGACTCCCGGCAGCGGGAACCCCGGTCCGCCCTGCCCGGCTGCTGGCAGTGGGCACCGACCGCACCCCCCGCCTAAAGTCGGCTGGGGGTGCCGCATTCCGAGACGGTTCAGTGCCGAGCCACTCACACACTGAGGCTGCGGTCAGGCTGGAGAACACACTCCCAATCTCACCTCGCTGTACAGGGGAGGATCCGCGGAGGGTTTCACAAACATGAACTCGCTGATATCCGAGACCGGCGAGAAGCAGGAGCGGTAACGCGGGGCGGGGGGAGCTGTTGCTGTCACCTGCACGCCCATCACCGTGTCCCCTTGCTTAGGCTCATAGTGCAAGTGCCCAAAAATGTGGCTGGGAGGGGGCTGAAGCGTGTTCACGCTCTCCACGCAGCAGCCCTGGTTGGCAGGTGCAGAGCCCCGCCGGAGGCACCGTACGCCCAGCGCCGCCAGTCCCACCAGCGAGACGGTGGAGATGAGCACTAGGGATACAATCAGGTAAAGCGTAATAGTGGGCAATCCCCCACTGTCAGCAGCCCGAGCCTCGGAGCCCTGCAGGGCCTCTGGACCCTTCTCCTCCACCAGCACCACCAGTGTGACGGCCGTGGAGAGTGGGGGCTCCCCAGCGTCCCGGACCACCACCAGCAGTTCGTGCGCAGAGGCGTCCGTGTCCTGCAGAGCCCGTGTGATCCGGACCTCCCCGGAACGCAGGGCCACGCTGAAAAGCCCCAGGTCTGTGGCTTCCACGAGGTGGTAGGATAGCCAGGCATTGCGCCCCGAGTCCGCATCTATTGCCACCACCTTGGTGATGAGAGCAGGTGGGACGATGGAGGGGGAAATTCGGAACTGAGCAGCAGATTCCCCCCCGGCCTTGGGGAAATGCACCTGTGGGGCATTGTCATTCTGGTCCACTATAAAAACATGAACCAGAGTTCTGTTCCTCAAGGCCGGGGAGCCACCATCAGAGACCTCCACGTGGAACTGGAGATAGGTGGTTTGCTCATAGTCAAAAGGGAACTTAGCAGTGACCTGCCCACTCGTGGGATGTATGGAGAGGTAGCGAGTAGGATCCAGGCCTGGATCTGTCCCACCAGCTCGCAGGATCGAGTAGGAGAGGCGGGAATTCTGCTCCGAGTCAGGGTCAGCAGCAGAGACCGTAACCAGCACGCTGCCCACTGGATTGTTTTCTGCCACCAGCACCTCATAGGATTCTTGCTCAAACTGGGGAGCGTTGTCATTGACATCTGTCAGGGTGATTGGCAAGATGGTGTGGCGGGAGAGGGGGGGATTGCCCATATCCGAGGCAGAGACGGTGACATTGTAGTAGGCAACATGCTCCCGGTCCAAACGGGTGCTGGTTAGCAGTGAGTACTGGTGCTCGTAGTCCTTGCGCAGCTGGAAGGGAAGGTCTGGAGACACATGGCACAGGACCTTGCCCTGCTCCCCAGAGTCCCGGTCTCTGACGTGTATCACAGCCACCACTGTGCCCGGCAGCGCGTCCTCACTCAGGGAGCTGGAGAAGGAGGTAAGAATGACCTCCGGTGCGTTGTCATTCACATCAGTGATTTCCACCACCACGCTGCAGTGCTCCTCCATCGTGGGTGACCCCATGTCCTTGGCCTCCACTTCGATCTCATACACCGTCGCCTCCTCGAAGTCCAGGTTGCCCTGGACACGAATCTCCCCAGTTTGCTCATCGATGGCAAAGATCTGGCGTAAGGCAGCTGAGTTGTGGCTGCTGAGTGAGTAGCGGATGTCTCCGTTGGGTCCTTCGTCCACATCGGTGGCATTTAACTTCACCACGAGGGTGCCCAGTGGCGAGTTCTCCACCAAGCGGGCTCCATATGATGGTCTGTCAAAGACAGGGTGGTTGTCATTGGCATCCAGGACCTGAATAGTGATGCGTATCTTGCTTGACTGTGGGGGAGAGCCCCCGTCTTCAGCAGTCAGGACCAAGTAATGGAAAGCTCTGAATTCCCGGTCCAGGGCCCGCTCCAACACCAGCTCAGGGAACTTCCCACCATCAGTGCGCGCCTTCACGTTGAGATTGAAGTTGTCATTGGCACTCAGGTGATAGGTCTGCAAGGTGTTGGTGCCCACATCAGGGTCCTGGGCAGGCTGGATGGGGAAGCGGGCACCCAGAGACGCCAGCTCGTAGATGCGCAGAGAAACCTCATCACTGGGGAACAACGGGGGGTTGTCATTGATATCCAGGATCTCCACCTCAATGCGGTAAAACTCCACTGGGTTCTCGATGGCAAGTTTCAAGTGGAGGAAGCAGCGTGGGTTCTGCCCGCAGAGTTGCTCCCGGTCTATCCGCTCGCTGACCATTATAACACCAGTGTTCACGTTGACAGAGAAGTACTGGGAATCCGAATCGGACAGTACCTGCAGATTAGCTGCCGCCAGCTTCGCCACATCGGTGCCCAGGTCCTTCGCGATATTGCCCACAAAGGCACCCCGGGTGAGCTCCTCCGGGATGCTGTATCGGATCTGAGCAGAGGAGCTGTGCAAGAACAAACAGAAGGAGAAGACACGCGGCAGCCCCAGGGACCGGCGCGCCTGCCCTGCCCTCGGCATCCTTGCCGGGTGGCCGGCCGGGCAGCGATGCCCTCCGCGCCGGGGGCCGCGCTCAGCGCTCGCCGCTCCCATTCATTGTTTGGGGCGGACGCGGCTCGGCGGGGCGGGGGCGCGCCGGGAGCCGGCGCAGCCGCGGCGCCATTGGCTGCGGGCGGAGCGCCGCCCTCCAATGGGCGCGCCGCTCTGCCCGGACAGCAACACGGCGGCCAATCACGGCCCGAGGGCCGTTGCCGCGCGCCGCGAACCCGCGCGGCGGCTCCGCGCGCTCGGCGGGGCCGCGACCCCGCGGCCGCTCACCTGGGCGCGCTCCCGCGGCCTGCAGAGCCGCTCACCTGGGCGCGCTTCCCGCGGCCGCTCACCTGGGCGCGCTCCTGCGGCCTGCAGGGCCGCTCACCTGGGCGCGCCCGCTCACCTGGGCGCGCTCCCGCGGCCGCTCACCTGGGCGCGCTCCCGCGGCCGCTCACCTGGGCGCGCTCCCGCGACCTGCAGAGCCGCTCACCTGGGCGCGCTCCCGCGGCGCGCCGCCGGCCCGCAGGAGAGCCTCAGAGCCGCTCACCTGGGCGCGCTCCCGCAGCGTGCCGCTGGCCGGCAGGAAAGCCCCGCTCTCCCTCGGCAGGGTGGCAGAGGGTGGGCAAGGCCGCAGGAAGGTGAAGTCGCTCCGCTCGGAGCCCGGGGAGAAGCAGGTGCTGTAGCACTGCGACTGGGTGTCGGTGGGTCGCAGCGTGACCTCCATGTACTTGAGGGTGCCGTCGGAGCTGAGCTGGAGCTTGGGGCTGGAGTGCTTGAAGAAGTCCCGGGAGGGCGACTCGCTGAGCCAGCAGCAGCAGTAGGGTGAGACGGCGGCGCGGCCCCTGCGCCGAAGGCACCTGGCGGCCAGGACGGTGACAGTGGCCAGTGCCACCGTGCTAACGGCTGCCAGCGCGATGATCAGGTAGAGGGTCAGGTCCGGCTTCTCCTTGGCACCAGCCAGGAAGTCCCGAGGCTTGTAGCTCTCCTCCGGGGCTGCTTCCTCCAGGGCCACGGTGATGGTGGCGGTGGTGGACAGCGGTGGGTCGCCGTTGTCCGTCACCTGGACAACGAGCTGCTGCACTGCCATGTCGGTGTCCTGGAAGGCACGTGCCGTCCGCACCTCCCCGGTGTGCAGAGACATGTGGAACAATGAGGGGTCGGTGGACTGTGGCAACAGCCGGTACGAGAGCCAGGCGTTGTACCCAGCATCTGCATCCACTGCTGTCACCTTGGTGACCAGGGAGCCCGGTGGGGCAGACAGCGGGACCCTCTGGGGTGCCGAGGCATCGCTGTCACTGGCAGGGTGCAGGATGGTGGGGGGGTGGTCATTCTGGTCCAGCACAAAGATGTAGACAGTAACATTGGCATGGAGCGGGGGGGACCCCGAGTCCCACACGGCCACAGAGACCGGCAGAACCTGCAGCTGCTCAAAGTCAAAGGTACCCTGCGCGTAGAGGTTGCCGTTGTCAGGGTTGATGTGGACGAAGGAAGAGATGGGGGAACCCTGCACTTGGCCACTCTCTATGGAGTAAACAAGCCGGGAATTAACCCCATCGTCAGGGTCTGAGGCAGAGACAGTGCACAGCAGGGAGCCAGGCGGGTTGTTCTCCGCGAGAAAAGCATCGTAGGAGGGCTGCAAGAAGCGTGGGGGGTTGTCATTCACATCAGATATATTGAGGAGCAGCGTGAGTGTTGTGGTGAGGGCAGGAGACCCACCATCCTGGGCAATAAGCACCACTGTGTACTGTGAGGTGGACTCCCGGTCCAGGCTCTCCCGGGTGACCAGAGAGAAGTGGTTCTGAAGGGACCTGATGGCAAAAGGCACATCAGGGGAGATCTGCAAGCTCACATCCCCATTGGCCCCTGAGTCTCGGTCCCGGACATTGAAGAGCCCCACGACAGTCTCTGGTGGGGTGTCTTCTGGCACCGGATTCAGCAGGGAGGTGAGCAGCACCTCTGGGGGGTTGTCATTGGCATCCTCCACTTGCACCTGCAGAACACAATTGCCCTCCATCTCTGGGACCCCTCCATCATGGGCTCGCACATAGATCTCATAGAAAGGTGATTCCTCAAAGTCCAGGGCCCCACTAACCCGGACCTCACCGCTGTGAGGATCCAGGGAGAACAGCCTCCGCACCAAGTCCGAGGTGTGAACCCCGAAGGAGTACTGTGTCTCCCCATTGGGACCCTCATCAGGGTCAGATGCATTGATCTGGAGGAGCACAGCCCCCACAGGTGTGTTTTCCGGGACTTGCACCTTGTATGTGGTGCGGCCGCAGGTGGGAGCGTTGTCGTTGACATCCAGGACCAGGACTGTTATCTGTGCTGTGCCCGAGCGGGCTGGGCTTCCCCCGTCCACGGCCGTCAGCACCAGCTGCAGTTCTGGCTGCTCCTCCCGGTCCAGGGCACGCTCCAGCACCAGCTCTGGGAAGAGTTTGCCATCCGGCTGCTGCTTGACGTCCAGGGAGAAGTGGGAGTTCGGGCTCAGCCTGTAGGAGCTCACAGCATTAGTGCCCACATCGGGGTCCTGAGCACTCTCCAGGGGGAAGCGCGAGGCCACCGTGGCAGACTCGGCGATGCGCAGGGTGCGCTGAGCGGTGGGAAAGCTCGGGGAGTTGTCATTCACATCCAGGATCTCCACTTCCAGGCGGAAGAGCTGCAGGGGGTTCTCCGTCAGCACCTGCACCGACAGCATGCAGCTGGCAGCTGCTCCGCACAGACGCTCCCGGTCCAGCCGCTGGCTCACCACCAGCGTGCCGCTGTCCAGGCGCACGGCGAAGTGGCGTGAGCTCTCCTCGGAGCCCAGGCGCAGCCTGCGACCCGGCAGCTCCTCCACCTTCAAGCCCAGGTCCCGGGCCATGTTCCCCACCACAGTTCCCACCTCTGACTCCTCAACTACCGAGTAGCGGATCTGCCCGGAGACCCGGCCCCAGCCGCAGAGCAAAAACAAACTCAGTACTTGCCATTTCCAGGCGGGTCGCTGGAGGCTGACACTCTCCATGTCTGTGCGCGGCCGGCCCGGGACACAGCAGGCACTGAGGAACTGCTATAAAATCCCTGGGTCTCTCTTCCACGGCTCGGAAAACAGCTCCGGGGCTCCGGCAGGCTGCGGCTCCGGCTGTCAGCCTCCGAGCAGAGGGGGTGGGCTGGGGGAGGGGAACTGAATCACAGCCCCAGCGCGGAGGTGGGAGGGAGGGGGGTTGGGGGGAGAAGCAGATTTCCCCCCCTCGCTTCAGATCAGCGCCCAATTGGCCGAGAGCTCCGTCCCCTCTCGGCCGGCAGTGGCTCCGGAGGTGAGGGAAGCAGGGGCCTGAGCCGGCAACAGCGGGGCTGCCACCCCCGGCCTCCCCTCTGCCAGCCTGACTCACTTGCTCTGACAGCTCGCTTTGCGTTCACAGGGAAACTGCACGTCCTGGCAGCCTGGAAGCTAGGTACAAACCCTCCCTGTGTGCTCCCCCTTCCACAATGGGGGCTTCACATCGTGCCCACACACAAAGGGCAGCTGTCAGGAATGCACGCCAAAGGACTTTTCATGCCTGATGAAAAGGTGCTTGTTAGAGCCCTGAGGTGCCAAGGGCTCTTCTCCCACCCCTTTTCTCCCCCCCAGCTAATGCTTTGGCTGCTGCCTGCACCCCATCATTACCTCTCTGAGTGAGGCATCACTGGCACCAGTACCACCACAAGCCAGGAGACCTCGCACTGAAACAGGGATGCCCACCCCTGCCAGCCCACCTGAGGGAGTGGGAGGCTGAAGGTGGGAAGACAAAGACAGGTGAGGCATTCAAAGCCAGAGCACAATTGTTCCCAGAGCACAATTGTTCCCAAAGCACACCTGACTGGAACCTCTTCCTCACCCTGGGACAAGGAAGAAGTCAGTGTTCACAGTACCCAAATCACTGCAAATAGATAGAGCCAGACAACAGGGCCGCTAAAACACCACTGGATCACAACACCAGCTCAGGATGTCAGATTGGGAAGGAGGGCCAAGCCTCCCACCTGGCAGACACACATACTGACATTCTGCAGCAGACACAGCTTTGCAGCCAAGCAATCTGAGGACAAAAGCAGGGGTCTCGGCCTCCCCAGAGGGGAGCAAACAGTAATTGCCTCCTCTCCCTGTCACTGAGGATGATGGCAAGCTGCAGGGTGTTAACTCAGCTCACATCCCTGCAGAAGCCTTGTGCAGGGTTGGAAGCGACCTGAACAACCATCTCATTACAACCCCCTGCCATGGACAGGAACACTTTCCACTAGACCAGGTTGCTCAGAGCTCTGTCTAACCTGGCCTTAAATACTTCCAGGGATGGGGCAGCTACAGCTTCTCTTTACAACCTATGCCAAGGCCTCACCACCCTCCCAGTAAAGAATTTATTCCTAATGTCTAATCTAAACCTACTCTCTGTCAGCTTGAAACCATTCCCTCATGTCCTGTCACTACATACTCTTGTAGAAAGTCTCTCTGCACCTTTCTGTCCCTGGTGCACTGAAGGCCACCCTGACCTCCCTTGGGTGCACACAAACCCTGGGGGTCTGGGGTCCGCAGGGGCCTTGCCTGGGACCCTGCCTGCCCCCACCACCTGGGCACCAAAGGGACCTAAGGGAACAGGTGAGAGAGGCTGGGGAGACCAATGGCCGGCACAGTGGACAGTGACAGGGACACCATCCTTCTGGCAAGGACAGACACGGTGGAGGTGCTGCTTTCGAGGGTCCTCCCTCCCCTCTGCAGCACCTCCCTGCCTATTCCAAGAGCCGCGAGGCGGGACCACCCTGCTGCCAGTCAGGGAGAGACACAGCAAAGACTGGCGAGAACACTGCGCGGGTCCCTCCTACTGCCCGCTCCGGAGGAGGGGAGAAGGCTTTCTTAAAGAGCCAGTGCAGCAAAACGCTGCATTGGTTCTTTAAGAAAAGATTCCACAGGGATCTACAGAGACCAATAAAGGTATATGGAGACAATACCTGTGTGGACGTACTTATTTTGGGGGTCCATCTCGCAGTAACACCAGCAAGAAGCTGTCACAGTAACCTTGACTCTGAAATGTGCCCTGTCCCCATCCCAGGCAGGGCCCCAGACAGCACAGCTGGGTGACAGACAATGCTGTTGGCAATACAAGGTGCTGTGCCCCTGGTAGTGGGTTTGGTGCTGCTGTGGTGCCTCAGCAGAAGCCCTCTGTGAAGTCCACATGGTCTGGGAGAATTCAGCCAGTGTCCCAAGATGGCTCAATCACCAAGGAGCTGGAGCAAGGGCTTTGCACAGGGGATTCTGCTGTTGCTTGAGTCTGTCAAAGCCCGGGATAGGGACAGTGACAAGGCAGAAAGGGTATGGGGTGTCTAGGAAGGTATGGGGTGTCTAGGAGGGGTATGGGATGTCTAGGATGGACAAGGAAATGTTTCCCATTCCAGAGGGCCAGAGCTCACTCTATGGAAGGGCTCCAACCCAGACAACCCAGGGATCACTGGAGATCCTGTAGAGAAGAATCCCTCATGGCAGGACATACCACCTGCTACAGACAGGGCCAACACCCTCCCCACTGCATCAGTTCTGGGGGCTGGCTGTATCCTGCAGAGCAAAGAGGTGTAAAGCCTATGCAGTTTTGACACGGTCTGTTGTCACCACAAATACTGAAAATCCAGGGCTCAGTGCCAGCCCAGCTGATTTCTCACAGCCAGTGCCTTTCCAGTGTTGTACTGGGGAGTAGGAGGGAGTCACGGCTATGGCTCAGGCTTACTGCCTGCCCAGTATCACCTCCTTCCACCCCACTCTCAAACAATTTACTGCCCCCACCCCCAGAGGCATCTTGCCAGAACCCTTTGGTCGAGGGGTCATCCTGGTCCCCAACCTTAGCACAGCCTGCACAATGCAGAGTGTAAAATTACTCCTGCAACTGCTGCATCCATTTATTCCTACCTGCTAGAAACCAGAAGTGCTGAGTTTGAACAGTGACGCAAGCAGGGAGGAAAAAAAAAGGAAAAAAAAAAAAAGGAAAAAAAAAAAAGATATAAAATAATTCTGAGATGTTTCTGCCTCCGTCTGTGATTTGGCCACACTGAGCAGGCGGCACACGCAGCCTCACACCCGTGCACAGCTTCCGCTGCATCTCACTTCCTTCTGCTCTGAGGAACCGGTTGCTCTCACTCACAACCTCCCAGCAAGGACAAATTACCAGCATCACCCATCTTGGAAACCCATCAGATCCACCACCCCTTCCCATCCACTGGATCCACTATCTGGCCTCACCACTGAGGACTGAAGCATTCCTGTAATTGAAAGCTTTTAAATTAAGCTGCAGAATTCCCATCGGGGAAGAAGCACAGGAGCTGCCTGCCATGCGCAAATGCCTTCCTGCCTGCAGTTTGCTCAGTCAGGACATCAGACATCACCCGGAGGTACCATATTACAAACCATGCAGAGCTTATAGTAAGGTTTCTGAACAACATCTGAGTGGAGGACTCACCATCCTGCTCAGAGCCACAGTCCAGTTCAGTGGAGCCCTGCAAGCAACGGAGACAATCTGCAGTCCCACCCCTCCACCCTGAAGTGAACACCATCACAGAGCTTCCATGGAAACAAAACCAGAGGCATCAGGAGTCAAACATGAGGAGCAGCACAGATGGGAGGGATGCTCTGTGTCCACAGTCTGTCACACAGAGGAACCAGCATCATCCTTCAGCTTTGTGTGCTACACTGTGGGCAGTGACAGCCGGGTCCCCCACTGGCAGCTGGTGGCTCCCAGCCCCATTTGCACCACCACCGCTTCAGTCCCCACCAGGGCACGACGCACAGAGACTGTGTTCCCACCCAGTGCAAGTGTTCCTCTCAGCTCTCCTACTGCAAAGAGAAGGAAATACCATCAGCAACAAACTTTGTGCCAAGGATTTACAAGTGGTTGCAAGCTGACCTCAGGCTCCACCGGTTACTCACACAAAGGCGTACACAAAACTGGGATCCAAAAGACGTATGTTTGCCAGCCCGAGCAAACTGACTCACTGCTCAGCACAGTGCAAATGTCATTGACACTCAGGACAGCTCATCTGACTCCAAAGAAGAACTGTTCAGCCACAGCTGACCACTCTTTAGAGGCATGGCGCGACTGGACATCCTTCCCAACCCCAACTCGCTACCAAACGCGTATGGCACAAATGAACCATGGCTCTGCCCGTGGCAGGGACATGCCAAGGAAGGGGCTACATTACCTCAGCAGGTGCAGGGAGCCGGCTGGCAGTGCCCACAATCTGGTGGTACAGCCCTGGCTCACCGTTCCTCATGGTGCTCTGACGGCTCCCCAAGGGGCTGGAAGTGAAGGGCTTTTTACACAGGAGATCACTCTGGCGAGAATCCGTGGTGAGATAGACCTGGTGGTAGAAGTTGGGTGGCGTGAAGCCACCCCGCACAGCATCGATGTGGTGGAAGGGCCCTGGTGTCCTGTATGTGGTACTCCTGGAGCTGTTGAACAACTCCTTTGACTGCCTCCACTTGTAGCACTTGAAGATGCCCAGAGACAACATGGTGATGAAGAAGGCTGCTGAGACCAGAATCACAGCCAGGATGAGATAGAAAGTCACGTGTTTCCTGGGATCATTGGCAGGTGCCACATCAGTGAGGTCAGTGAGCACCTCCTTGGCCATCTCGGCCACAGAGATGGAGACAGTGGCAGTGGTGGACAGCACAGGCTCCCCATGGTCTTTCAGCAGGATGACTAATGTGTGCTGGGGAGCGTCATCCTCACGGAGCTGGCGGGCCGTGAAGATGTCCCCACTGTGCAGCCCAACCGAGAAGAGGCTGGGGTCAGTGGCCTGCAACAGGGTATAGGAGATCCAGGCATTGTACCCTGCATCTGCATCCACCGCCACCACCTTGGTGACCATGTGCCCAGCAGGAGTGCCGGGTGCCACCACATCGGGATAGGTGGCGGTGCTGTTGGGGTGGGGGTACAGCACGGCTGGGGCATTGTCATTGACGTCAGTGACGAACACACTGACTGAGACATTAGTGGCCAGAGGCGGAAAGCCGCCGTCCTGGACCTGTACCATCATGCTGAACTCCACCTGGTCCTCATGGTCCAGGGAGGTGAGCAGATAGAGGGTGCCATTCTCCCGGTTGATGGAGAAGAGGTGGCCTACAGTGGGGTCACCCTGCAAAAGGGTATAGGAGAGGTGGGCATTGCGCCCAAGGTCTGGATCTGTGGCGCTGACATTAAGGATGGGAATGCCAGGCATATTGTTCTCCAGAACATACACATCGTAGGAGTCCTGGGAAGATTTGGGTGCGTTGTCATTGACATCTGACACCTGCACCAGGATGTGTTTTACTGCTGACAGAGGTGGTGAGCCTGAGTCCCTGGCTGTGATAGTGATGTTATACTCCGATGCCTTTTCCCGGTCCAGAACTCCTTCTGTTTTAAGTGTGTAGTAATTTTTGAGTGAGGAACTCAGCATGAATGGGATCCCAGGGGAAATGAAGCAGTTCACCTGGCCGTTGTCATGGGAGTCCGAGTCTGTTACACTCAGCAGAGCTACGACTGTCCCTGGAGCTGCATCTTCAGGCACAGGGCTGTACACAGAAGTCACTGTTACCTCTGGAGCATTGTCATTCACATCCACAACTTCCACCAGCACTTTGCAATGAGCCACACCAGGAACGACTCCCTTGTCTTTAGCCTGTAAGTAAATCTCATACAGCTTCGCTTCCTCATAGTCCAGCTGTCCCTTGACCCTCAACTCCCCTGTGGCCGAGTCCAGAGCAAAGAGTTCCCGTACCTTGGTGGGGGTGTGGCTGCTGAAGGAGTAGACGATGTCTCCATTGGGCCCATCATCCAGATCATATGCACTGATCCTGGCGACCAGGGTTCCGCTGGGCGTGTTCTCTCTCACACTTGCCTTATAGGTGGACTGGTTGAAGACCGGGGCGTTATCGTTGGCATCTACAACGTCAATGTGGATCTGCACATTGGCCGACCGTGGTGGGCTGCCTCCATCCAAAGCAGTCAAGACCAAATTCAGCTCCCGCTGCTCCTCCCTGTCCAACTCCTTCTCTAGCACCAGTTCCGCGTACTTGCTGCCATCCACCCTCGTCTGCACGTCGAGAGCAAAGTTCGGGTTGGCGCTGAGCTGGTAGGTCTGCAAAGAGTTAATTCCCACATCGGGGTCTTGCGCGCTCTCTAGCGGGAAGCGCGCTCCTGCCGCCACAGACTCACTGATTTCCAGCCTCGCCTGGCTGCTGGGAAAAACCGGGTCGTTGTCATTGATGTCCTGGATCTCTACGGTGCCGCTGTACAGCTCCAGTGGGTTTTCCACCACGATCTCAAAGCTGACGGAGCAGGGAGAGAGCGCGCCACAGAGCTCCTCCCGGTCTATCCGCTCGTTCACCAGCAGCGCTCCGCTCGTCAGATCCACCCCGAAGTACTTCTTGTTGCCGCCGGACACCACCCGCAATCGGCGTCCCGGCAGCCGCCCGAGGTCCAGCGAGAGGTCGGCTACCACATTCCCCACCGCGGAGCCTCTCCGCGCCTCCTCGGGAATCGCATAGCGAATCGCGGCAGAAACAAAGTCGGAGACGCCGAACAAAAGCAAGAGGCTCAGTACCTGCCCCGTCGTCACCCCGCGGCTCCTTACAGCAACGCCGTTCATCGCACAGGACGGCCGCGCTCTCCGCTTCGCCCCCCCGCCCCGGCTAGAAATCCTCAGCTCTCCCCGTCATGCCGCTGCCCAGCGGCCCCGGGAAGCGGCGGCGGGGAGCCGGGCATTGCTCGGCGGGCTCGGCCGTGACTCACTCCCAGAGTCTCTCTGAGACCGTCTGCGCCTCATCCCGGCTCCGAGCGGGGCCGGGCCGCCAGTTCCCCCCCGCTCCATCATTGGCCGACAGCGGCACACAGAGTCCCGTCCAATAACTGCACAGAGCGCAGGGCTCCAAAGCCCCGCCGCGGGGCCGCCGCCGCCGCCGAGCCTCGCCGGAGGGAGAGCGGCGACCCTGGCCAGAGGACAGCGCGGCTGGAGCCGGCAGAACCTGAAGGGAGAGCACAGATCTGACAGAACCCCCACTACAAGGACAGGCGGGCTGGGAGAGCGCTGGCAGGGGCAGGGTAGATCGGGCACGGGGACTGCGTGTGCGGGCAGGAAGGTGTAAGAGTTGGCGGAGAGGATGACGCCAAAAAGGGCGATATGGAAACGTGGGGTCTTTGGTGTGTGTTTGTGTCCTGGGAACACCTCGTTAGAATGAGGCAGAGGGAGTAAAGCAGCGGAGGTGAAGCGGGCGGGAGGAGAAGTGGGAAGGGTCGTTTGGGGTGTACAGGGCGCCGAGGGGGAGCCAGTACCGGCACCAGCTTCCCGTGTCCCTCAGGACCTTCAGGATGCCGGTCATCCCACCCAAATGCTTGGTTAGCCCCTTCCTGACATCCCACGGAGTCGCGACGTAGCGGCTCAGTGTGTCACCAAAGCAGCGTCGCCGGCACAGAAACACTGATTTCGTGCTGCTGAGTTAGGAGCAGCTCCTCCGGCTGCAGCACAAAGTCGCACCGCGGGGAGGCTCCCGCCGCAGAATTCGCAGGAGCACCGCCCCTCCTGCGGGATCCCCACCATTATCCCAGCAGGCATCTTTCCCGACAAATAGTAGAAATCTCGGTTTAATACGCCCTCCTGCGCTCGTCACCTCCCAGCTTGCTCCCTGGTACCCTTCTCCACCAGGCAGACGCAGAGAAATCACGGTCTGCGACACGCGGGCTCACCGGGGCCGAGAATGGATCCCGTTCCCGTGCAGCAAAGCCCAGCAGGTCACGGCACCGTGTAGACCACGGCCCTGGTAGTTCCTGGGCGAAAATCAGCCCTTTCCTGAGTTGCCTGCCTGCCTTTGGGGTTGTTGCTGTCATCAACAACCCGTGATATGCCGGGTTTTCCGACTTCTCGTGCACCCACAGTGATAAAACGACCCCAATTTCGGCCCTCGTTGTCCGACGGTCGCACAATTGCTCAGCTGTCACGGTGTAATGGGAAGGGGATGAGGAGGTTTGATAAGGGAGCGCCAGGAGCTAACCCGGCTGTGACACAGCTGTGTCTTTCCACAGTCAAGACTGCTAAGGAAGGGACGGGGATGTCCCTGAAATAAATTGAAATCGAACTCAGCTCCCCCGTGTTCATTCTCTTCTTTTAAAGCCCTGCAGAAGCGGTTGGGAAACGTTGTGGTTGGTTATTTGTTGGTTATTTGTTGCTACTTGTAATGGCTGAGCTCGTTGTGTAGGGGCTGCAAATCACCCACACCAACGTAGGAGACACGACATTCGCCAGAGCGAGCATCACCTCAATCCTAAAAACTGCCGTGAGTACACGGGATCCACCCAGAGATTAATTATTTCTGCGCTTATATGAAGACTCAGCAATATCAAATGAGTTAGCTCAGTCCGTCTTCTCTACATGCTCAGCTATTTCCTTTTCTAGTTATTAATCATTGCCAAAAGATAAACCTTATCAGCGCTATTTATCATTGTTATCACTAGCCCGCAGAATGTGAGAAAAGTTAAAGTTCGCACTGATAAAATCCAGTGTTAGTCATTTAACGTTCCCAGAGCACTTCTTTACTCATAGTCAACCAAATCCGAATTATCTTTCTTTCTTACACATAATCTAAACCAAAGGAAATCCCCTGTGCTCTTCTAGACAAATCTTTAAACAGCCTTCAGTGACTTATTATTTTCTCTGAAAGAAGCTCTGAATCCTTTTTCCAATCACTTCCCATTTCGGAATGGTTTACCGAACAATTTCTCCAACATGGGGACCGCCGTTCTCAAGTAATTTTCCTTCCTACGAGTGTACACACTCGTATGCAGAGTACCTTGTCCATTTAATCCCAGCAGTAGTGGGACACCCGAGCAGCGGAGAGATGAGTACAGTGAAGAGATCTCAGGAAAGGCATCGAAGGGTGAACATTTCCACCTACCGCATTTTGATTGATCTGGAGCCATTAGGTCTCCTCCACCTTGGTGGGAAGCCCAAATATTGCAGACGAGGCTTCAGAGGGTCTGAAAGCACCGTTTGGAGGGAGAAGAGTGGAAACTTACTGACAGCTAAGGGGAAAGACACTTTCCCCACACCTGGAATTCCTTCAAGTACGGGTTCAAGCCAAGTCCCAGCCTAAGCTATTTACTCTGGCATTATTCCCGCCGGAGCTCCAGAGGATCCTGTGGCACCAACAGACCCAA